AGAATTATTGCATTGGGATCAGACCAATGGCTTTCTGATACAAACTTTCATTAATATGTCTTCTTAGATTTTTCTAAGGTATTTCAGCAATTTTACTCTGCAACTGTTGAAAACATTACTGTGTTCTGGGGCTTTCTGGTTTGAGTCTAGAATATATACTAACTTTCTACGTGGAACTTGGGGCACCATTTTGTGAGTGTCCTGAGGTGATCTCAGCACTCTGCTGCTGAAAGAGATGGTCTCGCTAACTTCTGGCTTCATGTTCCTACCCCTTTGCCTAGCACCAGTGCCTTTGGGACTGAGCAGTTAGCTGTATCCTTTTTTTGAGTAGTCCTTCTTCTAGATGACCTGTACTTACTTTGGATTTAGGGTAGTAGTTTAGACTGCTCACAAACCTCTACTTGTGGTTCTTCACTTAAAAATCTGCTATGTATTTATCAAAAAACCAAGCTAGTTCCATCTCTATCCAAGCCAAATTGCTAAACTTGGGAGAATGCTGGATCAATATTATCTTAGCTTGTGACTTCTGTAGCAAGACTTATGGTGACAGACATTTTTGTGGGTATGAACATGCCCATTTTGGTCAACTCTGATCATGATTATTTTTTTTTTTCTATCAGAAGAATCAACATCTAATAATTTTTTTAAGAAAGTTGAATTTACTTACTTGTCTACATGAAATTCAAGTTCTTACTTATGTTGCATAACACCATTTAGTCAGGAAACTTTCATGGTTCCTCCAGACATTTACTAGCTAATTAAATCATTTACTACACAACAGTTTTTGACTTATTTTCCAGTTTCTCCTGTTTCTTTTTTTAATTTCTAGTTAGGGGAAAGAAAAGTGCTGAATAGTTTTTTGTATGTAGTGAGCAACAACAGAATCTCAAGAGAAATCCTGTTCCTTTAGGCTGTTCAACTCACTTGTGCAGACCAAAGGAAAAATGAAAGCATTCAAACTTTTTTATGTTTATCTGAACTCAGTCAAAGTTTGCTCATCCTACATTGCCCTTGGTTACTTGTATGACTTACGTTTATATATTCAAGGGCTTCCGTCCTTGTTTCATTTTACACAGTGTGATACAGTTGACTTCTGCTTAGCAAAGCCTCTGCATAAGAATTTGTAACTCAGTATTTGCAATCAAACACCCTGGACCCACTGGGCAAGATAGTGATATGAAATATCTTGAAATTTTAAGAAGAAAATTATGCTGTCATTCAAAGAAAAAAAAAAAAAAAAAAAAAAAAGAAAAAGAAATTTATGTCTGGAAAGATAACTAAAACAACCAAATCAAGAGGCTTATTGAGAAATGGTACTGAAGAAGCTCCTAAGCTGTTTATCAAACCTCAGCAGCCTTTTTGCCAACAATGGTTGTGGCAGAAGCTCATCAAATTTGCATTATTCTTTTAATTTTTAGCATTTGTTTGTGTACATCAGAAAAAGTCTCTCCAGGCTTTATTCTCCTCTCACTTTGCTACTTGGGAGAAACTATTTACACTTTCATCTTGCAGCCATTTCCATTCTACCATGATTTATTCCTGAGTTTAGAAAACTGGAGCGGTGCTGGGATATGCTTTCAATATTTCTAGTTAGTTTAATACCTATGAAAGTTACTGGATTATAACACAAAACAAGAGTATTCTGCTTCCCCATGAAATATGATCTTTTCAAGTAACAGTCTAAAATATTCTGATAATTGATCTATTTAAACAAGCAGACAACACCTCTCCCAACCCTACTATGGTGAGATACTGATACGCTATGAGAAACTGCAACCTTATTTCTGTGATATTTTTCTATTTTTCCTGTGCTTCTACACATCTTTGGGCATTTTTGACTATTTTTTTCCTTCATCATCTTTCTTTTACTTACTCTTCTTGAACAGTGTTGGATCTGGAAAGATATTTTAAACTCAGTCTATATTCTATAGGATGGAATGGGAAGCAATGAAATTCACACAACTTTAAGGCAGTTTGCAGAGGAAGGAAAAAAAGGACTGACTAAAGGCTATAAAAAAATCTGATAGTTAACTAGAGTTGACTGGAGGACATTAGAGATGCTAATTGTATGAGAAAATCAGAACTTCTGTTCTGCTTTCTAGTTCCCCAGGAGAGGTTTTCGTAATTGTAATACAAATCAGTTGAGGTTTTTCTGTTTGTTTGGTTTTTAGTATGAGTAAAGCAAAGCAGTTTCTCTAACATTTTTCTCATCCTTTGTGATACAAATAATCAGCATGAATTATAAGAGCTTGGCACTTCATTTATTTGTTTTCTAACTGCACTGGTATGGATGCTCCATTAACTTAAAAAGTGAGAAGACATCTACTGGTATGCCACTTGTGATGAAGAAGGTTTGCATTGTACTGTGAAAAGCATGATTAAGGTCCTAGAAAATGGATTCTATTGTGACAGACTGTGGTAGAGCACAGGGACCAGAACATAAAGCTTTCACATCTTGCACAGGACCTCTTACTAGAACAACAGAATTTGCAAAGTCACATCAACTAGTAATTATTACTAGTCCTCAGTAATCAGCTAATAAAACAAAATTACAGCACAAGACATAATTCCTGGGATTCAGGTCTGGCTAGCTGATACTTGTTCTTATACAAAGCTTTTTAATTCACAGAAGTTTGGGGACTGAAATGAATATAATCCCTGTAATATTCAGAATTGTTCCTCTTTTTCTTAAAGACTTTATACAGTTAAAATGACAATTGTTCTGTCATTTTAAGCACTAGACAATACATCATGTAACTACTCAATACACAAGTTCATATCCTTTGATTGACCAATATGGATCAGCTTGTTACAGTCTGGAAGTTTGTATGAAATGTTTGAAAGCCCTATATTTTTCTTTAGCAACATTCTTGTCCTCAGATAGCAGAGCTACACTGATCTGTATTGGCTGAGGATCTGGCTCCATAAAGTACAACTATTAGACCAGCATTTTCAAACGTTCTTTGCCTATTAAATTACTTCCCTGTTCCCAGGCTCCTGGGAGACCTGCAGGCTCAGTCCCAGCCGTGGACTAGACTGACTCCCTGTGTGCTGTCTAGTCTCTCTGCTCATCTGCTGCGGGTTTTGTGCACACACAGACTAATTACATGCTCTATAAATCTGGTGCTTCTTGGGAAATCCTGTTTTACTGTGCAGATAAAGATGGGAGTTGACTTGGTTCTTCCTGGATTTGATTTGCCTCTGACTGCAGTGCCAACGCACACTGAGGAAGGAGTTCAAATGCAGGTAGTTGCCCCTGATGGACCCATTTCTTTTCTGGGAAGGCTTCTGAAAGTGCTGTGGGAAGATGCTGTGGGCGGGATGAATTATCTGGGGAAAAGCAACCCACACCTAACTATCACAGCCTCTGCCCCACTCCAGTAATGTGATCTGTGTGGGTTCACAAGTTGGTAGGAAAGGTGCTGCAGCAATTTCAGGTATGAGGGCAGGAAGTGGTGCTAAAGCAACGCGCCTAACCTCTAACACCATCCTTGGAGCACCTGTGTTACCAAAGGAGCTTGGGGACTAGATCAAATTACCAGCCATGGTTTAACATTTTTAAGGGGTAGTCCTGATAAGATATGGCTCTTGAACAATCAATTAGGTGGTATTCTGTTTCCGTTCTCTGTTTCATTTTAGGGCTGTATTCTTAGACCTGTGTAGCAGATGCAGTGCCTGTGCAGTTCTGAGAGAAAAGCACATACTATAAAAAGTTTTCAGCAATTTACAAATCTAATAGTGCTGACTGCAGTTGAACAAAGTATTGTCCATGGAGTGAAAGCAAACACTTTTCTATCTATAAATGGTGTATTAACATAGAAACATTCAAATGTTAATTACTTCAAATTTAGATGATACAGATGTGAATTCTTCAGTTTCTCCTGAACTCCTCACCATGTTTGCCTGAATAGACTACTGAACAATCCAATCTAAATATACCTCTGAGTTACAAAAAAGGGAAGGAAAAAGGAAGACTCACAGTAGGTTGGCAGCAGGGAGCATGTATGTACAAGTGCTTATATAGAAAAAAAATCTTTTAAAACTGACTTAGAATTTTAAATCCTTAAATAATTTATTCTTAATGTGTTAACTAATTTATTTTGAATTTTTAATTTATTTAAAATGAAAATATTTATTTTCCAAGAATAACCTGAAGAAGCTTCAGATTTAACCTTCATTTATGCTTGCATGTTGATGCCTGTTATCTGAAACTAGAATTTGATTTGTAAAAGGAAAGGCTGTTAACACTGGCCTCAACAACACCAACACAAGAGCTGGCATGAAGCCATATTGCTGCTTACTGGCAGCAACATAAGAATATGATATTTATCCAGTTCATTTTTCCAAAATCCTCTGGTAGTGATGTGAAGCTGTATTTGCATGGCCTATAATCATGTCTCCATATTACTTATATGATCCTCATAATGGAATAGCCTGAAGGGAAGATGATTGATAACCATGTGCAGAGTTGGTGGACCCACGCATATGTTTAGTTATACAGCACTACTACTTTGGACTTTTACTGGCTTGTTTTCTGTGTTCAGGCTTGAGTATTAACATATTCCTGTGGTTGGCATCCCCATAATTGCTCTCAATAACTACACAGTTGTGTTGGTTAAGTATTTGAGAGGAGAAGCAGGCCTTTCACCCACTACCACCGATGCTATTAAATTCAAGAATGAAGACAGAAAAATAATGAGCGCTGGTTAAGTTTGACTGAACCACTCACTGAACTCAAGAAATTCAAATAAGCATTTTTATGGATTTTGGAGTACTCACTCCATCTCTGACCCCACCAGGCAGAAATGTTCTTTTAATAGGAGAGAGTTTGCTCTTTTGTGTTGCAGAAAACAGCAGCCTGAAGGACTGTGTAGGTGTGCTGACATTTCAGTCATGATGCTTGTTGCATTTGTGAAGAGAGACACAGTTGATTTTCATCAATATATTCCTCTCAGCCAAGCTCACGATTTCTCAGTACCTTTGTCAGTGATTCTTTACAGGTATTAAAGAGAAGTGGGGACCATATGGATTTTTAGGGAAAGTTGAAAATGAAGACCCTGTAAAAGAGGACTCTCAAACCTGTCACACAGAGGATGTAGGGTAAGGAATAACTAGAATTTCTGTAATGCTGATTCATCCTCTCTTCCCGAGTTAATGTGTCTTTGTAATACTTCTGTGTCAAAAGCTGCAGAGACGTTCTAAGCCATGTGTTTTGTACCATACCCTTCTCCAGGGAATTTTTTAATTGCCATGGTGATGTCTGTGCTGTATCCTAGATGGAACAAAGACCCCAAGACATTGAGAATAATGGATTATGTTACATAACATGAATTTTGGAGCTACTCTTTCTTGCTTAATTTGCCTACACTTGGAAAGATGGAGATAAGATAGTATAGTTAGAGAGACCGTCTGGGATGAGTAATGCCACTTTTCTAATTGGTTGTCAGAAGCTGGCTTTAACTATGTCCATTTGTAGTAGATAGAGCTATTCCTCAGGGTTGTGTCCTAGTCAGATGCCTCTATCTGTGGCTCTGGTGTCCCTCAAAGGTTCTGTGGTTTCAGCATGTGAACTGATGCTAAAACATGGAAAACATGCTCGGGTCAGGTGTGGAAATTTCTGTGGCTGTTATTCACAAAAATAGGATAGAAGAATGCCAGCAGCAGGCTGATGCTGGAGCTCTGTGCTCTGATCGCACAAAGGGAGAGGAAGCTTTGTGTTCAGCTCCTTGTTCTCCTATAACTTTCTCTTCTTGAAGAAATCACCTGCTTTCCTTCCACTTTAATTTGCTAAATATACATGCTATAACAGCACTTCCATATGACTTACGAACGTTTTGAGGAGAAAGGCTTAATAAAAAGTCAAATAGGACTTAAAGTTTATTTGCAAGAATAAAAAGAGTCAAATCTTTTGATATAATGCTGTCCTGGCATTACTGATCTATCCAGCTTAATGACCTGAACTTTCAACTTCTATGTTTTGCAGCTAACCTCTAGGCAAATAAATCAAGTTCAAAAGCTTTGATTCCCTCCTGTTCTAACACTGTCTAAGGAGTGGGGCTACAGGGGTTCTATTATTTCCTTTTAGCCTGTGGAATGGTTGGTAGCTCCCGGATCCCAGCATGCACTCAGAGCTGGGATGCCTATCTGTGTCAGCCTGGCAATGATAATCAGCACCTAGAGCCCGGATTTAATAGTAATTCAGGGTTCAATCTTCTCAATGGGAGTCTGCCATGGAATACAATGGAATCAAGGAGTATTTGTAAATAAAGCAACAGAACACTGTTATTACTTTGCATGCTTGTAATAAATGCACTTTAAGCTCTATGCTATATTTAATAATTACACTGAGTGAAACCTACACTGAATCATGGGAATTCATAAAATAACTTGAAAAAAATGCAACCTCCCCCTCTTGCTCTTCAAAAATATTTTTTTCATGCAAGATATGAAGTATGTTATTAGCTATGCTGTACTCTGCTCATTTCATACACCTGATCCCTGCTTGTCTTTGCAAAGATGAATGTGTTCAAATCTAAATACAATCTCTTGCTAACAATATGTACTGAAAAAAAAGAAAAAAGACTGCTATTACAATTATGTCCCCATGGTAACAGAAATGGTACATCATGAGGCTCTTACATATATTTATAATCTCCACTTCTGTTCTGTGAAACTCGGGTGAAAACACATTTCAAGCCCACTGCCAGGACAAAGCCCTATTACAGTCAATGGCAAGCACGACTGTCAGACCTTGTCAGAGTATATATGGAGCAGAAACACATTCCCATATTTTAAGGAGTCTCCTCACGCACATGCTATGCCCAGAGTTAAGATGGCTCTTCTGTGCTCTTTCTCCAGCAGCTTTTCTGCTGGGTGAGACTTGCATCCATCTGGGAAGACCTCTGTATGTTTTGAGCAAAATCTGACTTTCTTTTAAAGCAAGATAAAGTAGTTGTTGGGAGAGTATATGCTTCTTGCAAAAGCATGTAAGATTACGTGGTGTGGAGAACCCAGTGGTGTTTTTCAGACTTATAAAATAGAGCACATGGAGCACAATTTAACAC